GAGGGGGACTACAGAGTGGAGACCCAAAGCCCATCTGTAGGCAACTGGACGTCCCCTTACAGAAGGGTCACAAGGAAGAGACTAGCCAGTCAGGTGCCATACAACTTTCCTCTAGTTCTTTAATGAGCACCCCCCCCAATCAACATCACAACCTCAATTCTACCTTATAAATCTGGCTAGACCAGAGCAGGTATACTGGTCCAAATAAGAGCAGTGCACACAGGGAATCCAGGACATAAAGGGAATTTATGTCCAGGGAATTAATCCAGGGAATAAAGCCTGAGAATAGAGATAACAGGAGGGAAAGGGGAAGGTGGGGGTCAAAAGGGGGAGCCGAATCACTATGATCTACATATAACCCCTTCCCAGGGAGATCGACAACAGAAAAGTAGGTGAAGGGAGACAGTGGCCAATGTAAGACATGAAAAAATTATAAATTATCATAGGTTCATGAGGGTGGGGAGGGAGGAAATGAGGAGCTGATATCAACGGTTCAAGTAGAAAGAAAATGTTTTGAAAATGATGATGGCAACAAATGTACAAATGTGCCTGAGACAATAGATGTATGGATGGATTGTGGTAAGAGCTGTAAGAACCTGCAATGAAATGATTTATATATATATAAAGAACTTACATCTTTTCAACTTACCTGTATAACTTGATGAATAAAGTGTGTATGTATGTTTTATAGAAAAAAATCAATTTTCTTATCAGTTATGTAGATTCTAATGATCTGAAGGTGGAAATATTATATTCCTAGAATAAAAGGTAAGAAAAAATACCTTCTCTTTATTAATGCACTAAGGTGTTTCTTAAAAATGTATAATCTTGGTATGCCACATAAAATAAAATAAATCAAAAATATAATAATAACATTATGTTTGTATGATATTGTAGCTTCCAAAAGATTTGGAAATGATAACAAAAGAATGATGTAAACCATATGTAAGATCAACACAACATGTAAATAGAATGTACAAAAGACTGTAAACAGGAACTAGTAGACATATAGAAGAGGAGGTACCATTTTTAGTGTCTTATTGCCATTATGTGTCTGAAAACCCTGTGGCTTGGGTCAGGTCCATCTTGGTCATCAAAGTAACATCCCTGCTTTTCAACCGTTCAAGAGGTCTGTGCAGCAGCTTTCCCCAGGGCACTGCACAATTGATCTCTTGCCCACTGATTCCCTGAGCTTCGATCGTGTCTTTATTTTGAGATCCCATGATGGAATTTTTCCTTCACATTTGAATTTAAACAATCCTTCATGTCCAATCCTTAGAAACAATGGAGAGCAAAATTTTGTTAAGATGCATATTATCTGAAATTTGTGGACTGAATGTGCTTTACCTATAGAGTGAACAGTGTCTTTTCTAGGCTTCTTTCCTTTAGATGCTCAATGCACTCTCTTGACAACTGCGATCTTTTCTCCATTTTCCATGATGTTGCCTTCTGAACCTATCATGAGAATTTTTGTTGTCTTTACATTAAGTTGAAATCTATATTGTAGTCTGTAATCCTTGATCTTCATCAGCAAGTGTTTCAGACACAATCAAGGTTGTGTCTTCTGCTCATCAAAGTTTATTTAGAAGTCTTCCTCCAAATGCAATGGCTTGGTTTTCTTCTTATAGTATAACTTCTCTGATTATTAGCTTAGCACACAGATTGGACACTGTCCCGAGGATACAGTCCTGTCGCACCACTGTCTTGATGGTGAACCACACAGGATTCCATTGTTCTGCTTATACAGATTTGCCTCTTGTGCGAGTTCTGCATGAGCACAATGAAGTGTTCTGAAATTTCCATTCCTCTCAAGACTATCCATAGTTTGCTATGATTCACACAATCAAATGCATTGCAATACCATATGCCTCTATATGAGTACTTATATAGTTTTCTTTATTTCTACCAAGTTATGTAAAATATATACATCAATATAATTAATTTTGGATACAAATTGTGCTACATGACAAGATCAACACTAGTTCTACAGTGTCTGCAGCAGCAGCCCAGATAATTTCTTTTTATTTCCTTCTCTTTTGGTTTTATTAGAGGAATTAATGACCAAACTATTCCTTAGTCTTCATTTCAGCAGACAATGTTGTCCACCTTGTAGTGGATCTCTTACCAAGCCTCAGAGTGTGGCCTACTGTTTAGTTAATAATATGCTTTCATAGAAGAAGAGTAATTGCATAGATAAAAATAAAAAGTGAAAAAGCATATATATATATATATATTCCTTAACGTAATCCCTAGAAAGAGAAATTCACATAAACACTCCAAACCTGAAAGTGCAAACTAATGTATACTATATAAAATTTAGGTAGTAGGGAAAATGTTACATGTAGTTATTAATTCAATCTTCTAGTATTCTTTTTTCCTTATTTCCATTATGTCCCATGAATTCCAATAACAAGGCAAAAAGGAAAAATAAAATTAGCAGAGTGCTAGATACAGGGTAAACGATTTTGTTTTTAAGGATGGGCACGTTTCTTGCTCGGCTTTATTCTTGGATTTTCCATCATAGGTCATCATTGCTTTATTTGAGTAAGCGCAACTGTACTAATGAACTGTTCACTGGGAATATTTTTGTGTCAGCCATGTGGGTCTTGAACCCTATGGTTTTTCCTCCCATTAGAATACTTAAGAATTATATGGTTCACATGTATATATATAAACTTAGCTATAGAGATACAGCAAATATCAAGTATATACATAAATCCATTTAGGCAAAAGCTTCATACACCAGTAAGTTCTTAATCTTTCAGCCTGGAGTACCTTCATATATGTAAATTCAATTATGCTATAAACTAGTTAATCTTGTTCCTCTCATCCCACCACACCCCATAACTGGGAACTTATTTTCTTTAAACACGTAGTTCCTGCTAAAGGTACCAGTTGAGACAGCCTGGGGGAATTTCCAGCGCATGTATGGCATTTCTGGAAAACGAGATCATTGTCTTTTTCATCACGACCGTTTCAGTAGTGAGCACAGTGATGGCTCCGTGGCAGAATTTTTGCCTTCCATGTGAAGAGATCTTCAGTTTCCTTTGCAGTCCTTGCAGGTGCAGCCATACCCATCTGACAGTAGAAACGCGTGTGTTACCGTGATGCTAAAAGGTTTTGGCAGGCCTCCGAAACTATGCTGTACAAAGAGAAAAGACCTGGAAATGCACATCTGAAAACCAATGAACGCCCGATGGAACGCAGTATTCTGATCAGCAGGTGGCCGTGGAGTGGCTCCGGGCCAGGCCGTGCTTTGTTCCGGGATGCACAGTCGCCCTAAGCGGGGGCGGACTGGACTTCCGGGGCCGTCGTTGACTGCATAATTTTCAGGGTCTGTGCAAAATGAAAATGTGGGGTCCCTTGGTCGAAAGTTATTAATCATTTGAAGTTGGACACATTATCAACTTTTTTGTGTTGTTTGGGAAGATAAAGAATAATTTGAAGATAACACCAGGGCTTCAAACCTCCGACATTTTTATTCAACCCTCTGCTGAGCATTTGCACTTGTACTGGACATACTGACTCAGAATACATTTTAACCAGAGCCCGAGATTATTTTCACAGATCCTGTTGTGATTCTTGTATGTGCCTCGTATGAGGATGTCATTAAAATGTAAATTTTGATTCAGTATATCTACAGTAGACAAGCACATTCTCAGGAGGGGGCTGGAGGAAATTGAAATGCGTACACACAAACACACACACACACATACATTTGCTGACATTCAGTTGATTCTCACTCATTGTGACCCTATAGAACAAAATATAACGGTCCCATAGGTCCCCAGGCTGTAATGTTTATGAGAGCTGACTGCCACATGCTTTTTCAGTTGTGGGGCTTGTGGCGGCTTTGAACTACTGCCCTTTTGGTTACCACATGAGTGAGCACTTTACCACTGTGTCACCAGAGTTCGTTAGGCAATCGGGGAGAAACAAGCAAACAAACAAACAAAAAGGAATCAAACTATTTCAAATAAACATAAAACCCAGCAAAGTTTTCAATGCTTTTCGTAATCGTTTCTTTTTACTTGTTCAACATTTGTACAAGCTGTGGGGACCTGGTAGCAGAGCAGCTCTGTCACTAGCTGCTCCATGGGTAAAGACAGTACTTCCTCCTCCTGAGCAGTCACAGGCTAGGTGGAGCGCAGGGGCAGCTCCGCTCTGCCCTCTAGGGTCTCTATGAGTCAGAATAAACTCAATTGCACTGAATATATTGGAGTCCAGCCTGTTATTTGAAGCAGTCCGCCCATCAGGTAAATCTTACTTAACTAGTCGTTAGTGGGAAATTCAGAACCAGAAAGTTAAATACTCTGGTTTAGGATGTCATAAATAAGAAAGAGAGACAGAAAGAATAAGAATGAGATGTCAAGGTTTTAAGCTCTCCTGCCTGGTTCTGTTCTTTTGAGAGTTTTATGTAATCCTCTTATGGAGACATTGAAACGTAAACTGGTAGGGTCTGGTTGCTGTGTGTCGATTGTTTTCAGCCCACAGGGACAGCAGGCTTCCAGTTCCTATGATGGTGTTTGGTGAACATTTCTCCCTAAATCAGCAAGGCCTGCTTTTTATCCAGTCTTCCCCTATAAAATGGGATCCTGCGCTTTTCCATTTCAGTTTAAAGAAAGAGCAAAGTCATTCATCCTGACAGTGTTTATTGAAGAGCAAACTTGCGTGTGATTTCCTGAAAGCCTAATGGCCTGCAAGGGAATGTGGTCACATCCAAGACGAGAGTGCATGTGTTAGTTCCGACCGGGCATTTATGGCATTTGTTTGAGAGGCTAAACATTGTCTTTTTAGTTCCCTACTCTGGAAGTTTTGTTAGAGATTTTAAGATATCTCGGTTTCTTTTATTGCTCAGTTCAGGTATTTAATTAAAGAATACCTTTTAGGAAAATGATCTATAAAGTTACTGAGAAAAAGTTATTTTCTCTTATTGTGACTTGTGATCTCAATCTTTTTTTTTCTTCTTTCACTTTTTAAAAAATCTTATTTTATTTTAGAGGGCTGCTGAAGTGTCAAACTAATTTAGATACCCACCCTCCTGGCTGCATCAATCTTAATAAGACCCGCCACCAGAATATTACCTCACCAGCGCATATCTCAGCGGAATTCCATGAACTTTTACCTGGAGAATTCTCAAGATCAGATGAACTTACCAAGAACACATTGGTGAAGATTTGTGCCGAAGAGCCCAGATTTCAAGCTAATTTTCCACAGGTTAAATGAATTCTTTGTCTTCATTGGTCTCTGCAGAGTCTAGGTGCCCAGAGTGGTTGATCATATTTGTACTTTAATATGTTTTGAACCTTTATCGTTATTCTCGCAGGACGAGGAGACTGTTATGCACCCTGAATTCAGGTGACACTTGGGCAGAGCTAAACGGCCTCATAGGATTTTTCAGGCTGTCCTTAGAGAATGAGACTGCCACATCTTGCCCTTCTGAAGTAGTTGGTTTAGATGAAGCATTGACCTCTCTTTTAGCACCCCAATACTTAATTCCTCCTCCCCCAGGATTCCTTATTTGTGTTGTAGTTATCATAAAACTGGGCAGAAAAAAAGCAAAGTATGTTGACTTCCGAGCAGTCATCTTTCACATCAGGAATTGGGAAGCAGAAGCAGACGTGCTGCAATGGGTCCCCTGGTTCACATATGCAACCTTCACACTCTCTCTTTCTATGATCGCGTCCTTGGTTCATTTTAAAATCCCCAAGCCCTCACTTTAAAAAACAAAATAAAACAAAAACAAGCATGGACACAGAGAAGCAAACAAAAGAGGAAACCTGCTGTCCCCAACAGGAATGTCTCCATACCCGTCCGGCAGCATCTGTCTAACTCTTACTCATTCCTTTTCTCACTGTCCGCGAGCCTTTTCCCTTTTGAAGTTCCAGCCATAGTTTGGATTCCGAGGACTTGACCCTTCACTTAGCTGGGTAGTTCACGTTCATGTGGTTTGCCCATTGGATTGTTATCGAAGTTTCTTTCAAACTCTAAACATTCCCCCACCCACCCTAGGGAAATGTTTTTAATGTTGCCCCTTCTTCCACTAGTTGATAGTTCTATTTCATTTACTTCTGTAATTTTAGCAACAACTTATCTCCAAATGAGGTGAAGATAAAACTATTCATGAACTAGACATTTCCTATTCACATTTAGACCCTGGAGCTTTTCTGAATGTATTTTCCCTAAGAAAGGTTTTCTTTTCTGCCTTCTTGTGTGTACAACTATGTTACCTTGGAAAAGACAGTCCCTGGAGGTCTTTGACTCACAACAGGAGAAAAGCTATGAGAACAAAACTGGATCAGGAGTTGTAGAGCCTAGCTTTATTTTCTGATTCTTTCCCTGAACTCCACTAATGTGGTTAAATATAATTTCATTTAATCATACATGTAAAATGGATATAATCATACAAACTCAAATAGTTCTTGTATAGCCATTAGATTGATGCATGTAAATGTGCTTTATAAATTTTAAAGCCTCATATGATTAAAAGCTAGGCCATTTAAAAAAAATTTCGAATGATACTGTGACATTGGCCAAGTAGTCAAAGAAGAACCCTAGTCTTCCTTTGTGACCCTCTGTGTCCACATAGAAAATTTGTATCCCGTCCTATTTTGCCAGTTCAAAATAGAGTACTGAATTAGTGATGCTGAGTGTCTGTATTCAAAAGAGAAGAAAAGAGCTAGAATCAGCCTGCGAGTTATTTTGGAGTGATTATAATGGTCTGATGCTTATTATTAACCATCATCTTTAAAGTGCTGTTGGAAATGACAATTTTCAGAATTTTTCTGGTCTTCATACAATACTGAATGCTAGATAAGGCAGGTATGGAAACTCTCTTTTACTTTTGTGTGCCTGATATGTCTCTCCCAAAGTTGCAAGGTTGCAAAGTAGTTAAGTCTGGAGCAACTACATGAAGAAAGTTTTAAAATGCAGTCATTAAAATGGTGACCTGTGAGCAGAGGCCTCAAAGTGATGACAGAGATGTGGTGTGCAGACGTAGGAGAAAGATTTGCCACCCAGGCTTTTATACATCCCAGAGTGCTCAGTTATCTGGGGACTAATGCTGCCCATCTGGTACATATTCACACTTTTCAAATTCTAAATATTTTCTTTTCATATGATATTATTTTAAAGTAACTAACAAAATAATATCTAGAGTACTTCATTGAAAAATATGAATATAAGTTATATACTCTCTAAGGCAGTTGCTCAACCTTCCTAATGCCATGACCCTTTAAGACAGCTCCTCATGTGGTGGTGACCCCCAACCATAACGTTATTTTCATTGCTACTTCATAACTGTAATTTTGCTACTGTTATGAATTGTAATGTAAATATCTGATATGCAGGATGCATTTTCAT